AATATAATAATAATAATAAATTCCAAAATTAGCCGACGAAGGATAAACGAAAGCTGTAGAGCATAATTTCACCTACGTGTGCATATAAAGAACGTTAAAAACGGAGCTCATATGAGAAAGTTATGGATTTTTGAAGTTTAGGACACAAAAACCGAGAAAAATCCCAAAATCCGAGGAATTTCGCATGGCCAAACTTCAGTCACGTCAACCTCGCCCGCGAAGTGCCCCATGTCCGATGCTAATGAGTCACCCGAAGCGAGGTCCAATTCGACTCAGCAGAATGTCGCATCTATGGCGCGTCCGAAGTGCGACGAATGTCTCGCATCCGAGACCAACACTTGGCCCCCCTCGCATCTGACGCGTGCCCTCGCCACCTGCCTCGCTTCGCTACTACCACGTGCTTCTCCCCCCCCCCTCAGTCCGAATTTCAACCTATAAATAGGAGGGTGCGAACCCTCCCGGATAATGTTAGAAAATTCACACTTTTTCACCCCTAAACCCTATTTTAAGCCACTTTTAATCCCCCGAAGCCCCGAGATCATACCCAACACCCGAAATACATTCCAAACTGTCCGAAGATCCCGAGAAATTTATCTTTTCGGTTTGAAGCTTAATCCTCTCAAGGTATGGTTTTCAAGAAAGCTCCTGGTTTTCATTAAAGAAAGTTAACTATAGTAACGAAGAGCTACCCAAACTACTATTTTAACCTCCATTTAATTCACGATGAGTTCAATATGTAGGAACAATTGTATGTTATGTGTTATATGTGTTATGTGCTTTTCCGTGTTATTATCTCATGTTATTATTACATGCTATTATGGTAGCAAAGTTGTACCTCTGATCATGTGATCAGTGAAAGGACTTAGATTCATGATGGTATCGGTATGTAGCCTCTGGCCATATAGATCATGCCTCGTAAGAGAATGACTTCTACCCCTATGGCATTGGCAGAAGGTTAGATAGGGCTAAAAGCCTAAAATCTATGAAAATGTTTAATCAGAAAGTGTATGTCTTCTGTGTCATTTGGGCTGAAGCTTTATTAATGTATATCAAGTATGAAAATTGTTATGTCTCATTAATTTTATATCTTTGAATCAAATCATTGATTGATATGGAAAGCTTGTCACATGATTCACTTATGCCTTTGTTGTCCTTATTCCTCTTTGCTTCTGCCATATTGAAGTATATATATGACATAATGTTATATTGTATCTATTATTTAACTCACTAAGTGTTACCGCTTATCCCTCTCAATGTTTAACTAATGCAGGTAATAAGGATCCAATATAGTCATATACTGTTGGAAGATTTAGAATAGTTTATACTATTACTTTTGTATTTAGTGATCGTGTATGTATAAAATTATAATATCCTAGTTAGTTTAGTAATATTCTAAAAACTTATTCGGTTTGTATCCAGTCTTTTGTAATCAAATTATCAATGTAAAATATTATTTATAAGTATGCATGTAGCATGTTTTGAAGTAACTTGAAGTAATATGATGTAGTTTTAAGCTTTATTGAAATTGCTTCTCTCAATCATATGAAAGTGTGGGTCTTTCATATTATGTTGGTAATGATAGCCTGGGGATTTGAGGGATCAACAGTTTGGGGATCTTCCAGCTAGCAGCAAGAAGATTATCTACGGAACTCTACAGTCAGCGTGTGAGGTGAGTTTTCTCATGTAGGAACGAGTCGAAGGCACCAATATCGGCCTGTTTATGTATGTTAGTGTATACCAGATTTAGATCCGATGTTGGGGTTAGCCCAATGTAGTTTATATGTTATGTGTTCCGCACTTAGGTCTGATGTCGGGGCAAGCCTGAGGAAGGTTAAGTTTTTCGGACTTCAATCTGATGTTGGGCGGGGCCCGAGGAAGGAATGCATGTTTAGTTATACTTGTTGTCTTTGGGATACTTGTGTGTGCCTGGTAGGGAGGTGAGTGTGGGTGGGGAACCGTATCTCATTACTATGTGAGTGTGGACGAGGTTTAATATCTCATTATTAGCAGAGTAAGGGCGGGGCCCAAGATAGGCGGGGCCTTGAGACTAGCAGTTATAGCGTTGTGTTTGGTTGTTATGTACTAGCATGTTTATTATTATATGTTGTATGTGTATAGCGGGCAAGGCCCAAAGACAGGCGGGGCCTAGTAGAAACAGATATGTATACTGATCGGGGCTCGATGCCAGGCGGGGCCTGATGCCGAATTCGTTCGATGCTGGGCAAGGCGCGATGTAGCGGGCTAGGCCCAACATTTGTAGTATGTGTTTATGTGTATGTCATGTGGTAATTTGGGGAGGCTCACTAATATTTGTGCTTATAGTTTTCAGTTTTGGTTTCAGGTACTTCCAATAGCGGAGGCAAGAGCTTAGGATGATCGCATTGCACACACCAAGATGTTTTAGCCTAAGATGTTTACTCTGATGTTTTGGAAACTCTGATAATAAAGTTTGAGATATTATAACTTATGTTTTGATGAAATGGGTTGATAAGTTTGGTTTTATTATTAAATTAAAATGAATTTTTTGGACCATATTTTTGGGATGTTTCACCTACACTTTAGTGTAACAACATCAAGGCTAATGTGTTATCATTAACATTGCATCAACGAACCAAACATATAAATATATATGTTAACCTTATTATAGATATGGTTCTAGCTCAATCTCTATAGATTCAATATGTTATAACGGTTTCTCATTGGGCGCATATTCACACTTCTCATTGTTAGTTTCTCCGTTCCAAGCTTCATGTTGTACCCATCATTTTTATTGAGGGGGATGGTGATATAATCTTGTGTAAGTCCCCAAACTTGCTTGTGTATCAATCAGATCCAATTGATGGTGCGGAATCCCAATCAATTGGATGATGTCAGATCAATATAGAAGAGAAGGAGAAGAAGAAGAATATGAATCTAATGATGTATTCAATATGAATGATGCTCCTTACAATAGATTCTCTCTCACACACACTTCTTCTCTCTAACTTTCTCTATCTACAAGATGCTCTCCTCTCCTAACCGTACACTCCCACATGCACACTCTATTTATATGGACCTCCAGCCATACACATGTGTACAGCCACACACCCTGTGTACGACCGTACACAGGGTGTGCGGTCGTACACACAAACCGCAAACACATAAAACATTACATAAAAATATATTTTCCTAGAAAAGCAAAGTATAAACCATATTTTTGACCCATCAATCTCCCCCTTGGTTTATAGCTTTCTTTTCTAACTGGCCCAATAAACTCCCCCTAAAAAGTAGCTGGCTTTTCTTGTTAATCTTCGTTGGGAGCTTGGCTTCAACATTAATCTTCATATTTCTTCACAGCATCAAGATGAACATATGAATCTTCTATGAATGACTTCATCTTGAGCGGTTGGGCATTTCTTCAAGAATTTGGCTTTGAACGCACGTCGGGTGAGGAGGCTTGATGTACTGATTCTTGAAAGATAGCGCTTTCAGCTTGAGAATCTATAGAGAGAACATCAGAGAGAACAAATCTTCTGGATCACTTCAGCAGGTACAAAGATAGCAGCAGACTGATTGAGGAGGCTTCAATGCAATCTGTCACATAATCTTCAATTTCAGCTTCACCATGCTTCTAGGGTTGAAGGATGGAATGTCGAAAGAATAATCTTCATTTCTTGCTCCTCCGAATGCGAATTCTTCGATGCTCACAGATGAAGCCTTGGCTTAGAAATCTTCAACACAAACTCCATGAGTCTTATCTATACCTGAAATCACTTTTCAAGACAAAACAAAACTAAAAGAAAAATTAACACACAAAATAAAAATAAAAATAGAAACAAAAATATTTTTGGATTTTCTAATTTTTCTGAATAAGAAATAACACTATTTTATTTTTTATTTTATTTTAAATTTTTTTTGGAACTTTGAAATTAATATTCTATTAATCCTCAAAATAATTCATTTTTTTTTGAGAAAATTGTGAGTGAAAGGGGTTTTGGGATAAATAATAAAAGGAAAAGGGGGAGGAAGTGAAATTTTTGTATATATATATAGTTAGTGTGTGTGCGGTAAAAAACGTATCGTCACTATTCCTTGCTTCAACCGCACACACATATTTACTCTCTCAAACTCTTTGAATATTTCCATTAAGTTTTTGTGAAAACAAGCTTTTACTCGGTAATTCTCATGAACACAGTTGAATTTTTAATTACTTTCACAAATTTCTTTATTGTTTGCTGTTAAATTCTCATAGAAAATGTTTGGGTAACCGCACTCAGTGTGTGCGGCTGACCGTGTGCTGCCACACTATTTCATGAATAAGTGTGTGCGGTTGACCGTGTGCTGCCACACTATTTCATGAATAAATGTGTGCGGCTGACCTTGTACAGCTGTACACGTGAGTATACGACTGCATGTAACTTCGTGTGCGGCTATATCATTTTCATAGTTTTGCCCTAATAATCTTGTGTGTTGCCTTTCAGATTAAAATGGGAGACATGGAGTTCGCTAAAGCTCATAATTCTGCAATTTTTCTTGAAGATCCTCCTGCAGCCCACAATGACTTGAAATTCATTGTGGATGGTTTGAAGAAATCATGCTTGGTTCATTGCTTAACTACAAATCCTGCTATCTACCAAAGTTTGATTAAGGATTTCTGGAGAAATGCTGATGTAAAGAAGAATGATCGAGGTGAAAATTTTCTGGAAACAACAATCGAAGAAAAGAAAATTCTAGTAACAGAAAGCATCATCAGAGAATCTCTTCAAATTGAGGATAGACCTGAGTACCCCATGGAGATTGATGTTCATCAAATTGAGAAAATTTTAGAGCATATGGGATACGAATGAACTTTTCCTCCTACAATCAAAAAGATGCTTCCTCCATGTTGGAAGCTTTTGGCTCATGTGTTCGTGAGTTGCATTTTTGGCCGGAGATCAGGAGCTAACTAGATTTCTCTAGCCAACACTGGTGCCATTGCTGCATTGGCGGTAGGTTTTGAGTTTAATTTCTCAAAATTCATAATGAATGAAATGATACTAAATATTGAAGGAAGCAAAAGAGACAAATTTTGTATGTATCCAAGATTTTTACAAATCATCCTTAACGTAACTCACCCCGAGTTGCAGAGAGGAAATGATACTCTGGATTTCAAATCCATTGGTCCAAGTGCCTTTGGATTAATGAAGCAAAAGAGAGGCGGAAAATTAATATTTGAAGGAAAATTTCCATTAATAAAATTTGGAATTTTTAAAGAGGATTTCAGAGAAGAATCAGCAGATCAATCCATGCCGATGGAAAATGAAGATATTCATCACTCTCCCTCCGAGCCTGAAGTGGAGGAGATTCATCACTCTCTCACAACTTGTGTAGCTGATGAGCATAATTATCAGAAAGCAAATGATTCAAAATCTTCTCGAGGGGATGATGACGATGATCTTTATGAAGATGTGGAGTTTTTGAAAGAAATCGACTTTACAGGAATCAATGATGACATTCCAACAAACATAGAGTTTGATTTTGGTGATGAAGATTTTGATCTTTTTCTTGATATTCCCAGCAGCCGTGTAAATAAAGTCAATGAAGTTGCTTCTCTAGCAACCAAGACTAGAGATGAAGGAAATTTTCTTAAAATTCTGCTCTCTACCTCAAAGCCCTTGGAAATCACAACAAGCCAAGGAGATGTGACCTCAGAGATTCCTCCCTCTGTGTCACCTGTCTCAACATCAACTCCAGTCATTTCTATGTTATCTGAACCTCAGACTTCTCAAACCTCCATAAAGAACAAGCCAATCTCTTGAAAGTCTGGAGGTACCCTCTGTAAAATGTGCTCCTCAAGTTATTTTAACAATCACTGCAACTACTGCTCACTCTCCTTCAAAGCAGACTGATGAAGGTCCAAGCACCATGTTCGAGACTGGTGGATCCTTTTCTATTCCAGAATATTCTCCAACACGACCTTCTCTAGATGAAGCTTCTATCAGATTAGTAAAACATCTGGCTCAATCTAGTCCAACCTCTTCACGCGGAAAACGAATATCATTTAACGAGGGTCGGATAGATGATGACAAATCCTCTTCATCTGATCTCCGAGAAGAAATTGGAATTCTCCGTCAACAGCTCATTGAAAAGTCAATTCAGATGGATCAGCTTTCTGCACATATTTTTGAGCTCAGGGCAAAAGATGAAGAAAAGACCAAACAAATCAATGATCTACAAACGAGTCTTGGATCTATTCTAGCTAATTATTTCAATCTCAAGAGCGTATTGTACGATGCTTTTGGTGAAAAAGTCAAAGCCCTCTTCCAACAGCCTCATGGAGTAGTTGATCCTCCTTCTGTTCAATCACCTCCTACAACCGATGATCTACCTGTTGACCCACCTGTTCCAAGAACAACTACCATTGTCAACAGATTTGAAAAAGAACTTGAAGGAAGAAGAGCCAGAATCACAATCAAGCAGGGAAAAAGAATCGTAACTGCAAAACAAAGCGAAGGCCTTTTATTCATGAAAAATTCTAATGAAAATTGCAAAACAAGAGAACCTGTTTTGATAGTAACAGATTTGAAGAAAAGAAAGTTCGGTGATGAGTATGGTGACATGACAGGCATCCGAATGTGGGCCTTTGATCCAGTGACGAATTTGTGGGTTGTAAAGCGAAAATCAGGAGCATCTGAATGTTACAAAAGCACCCATGATTTCAACTCTTGGACCAAAACTGATCTAGCTGAATTATCCAGGACCCCATTCCATAACCCCTCTGAAGATCCTAATGCTTCAAATTTCAAAAGATTTCTCGACAGACAGGTCAAAGAGAACTTTCCATCAATGAAGACTGCAAAAGGCCTATATAAAAAGGACAAAGATGTTCTTGATCCAGAAACAGGTGAACCCATGAAGATTATACTCTGGCCTACAACTAAGAAACAAAAGGAAATTCCTATTCCTCAACATTTTCATGAGGGATATCTAGATGACATGGAATTTTGGGCATATGATGACGAAACAGCTACTGCAGCCATCAAATTCAAGAATCGAGAACATATTCTGAGATTGATTAGTGCTAAAGATCTTCTCCGCTTCAGAGAAAGGGATATACGAACTCTGGCCCGTCATCAAATCATTTGCAGAAAGGATGTCATGGAAGCTGCTGCTAAAGAATTCACTGCTATGGTAGCCACGATCATAAATGGAAGATTGTGGATGGGATCAATGGGGAGATCAGATATGAGGTTGTTTGAGAAGCCTGTTGAGGAGCCAAAGGAGTGAAGACAAGACTATGCTAGTCTCAAACCAAGGGGGAGACTAAAAGAACATAAATTTGTGGTTTGAGCTAGGCATCATTTTGTTTAGATGATAGTGTCATTTTGCAGTGATTGTATGTTATCGTGTAATGTGTGCTGCCACACATGTGTGTGCGGCCGCACACATGTGTTTGGCTGCACACTCTTGTGCTAGTAGGAGGAGTACTATTTATAGAAACTGAGTTGTGTCAGTTTGTACTGGTTGCTGGTGTCAGAACTCTGCAGTAGTTGTATTTTTCTCAAGATGTACTTGACATTTACTGAATATAGATGTGTGTATGCTTGATTTTAGTAAAGATCGAGTCATGTAACCTCCTTGAGAAAGGAAATAGAATATGAAGTATTCAAAAACTCTATTTGGAGTACACTATGTGGTAGTTATCATCTTAAGGTTTCCAAACATATAAATAACACAAAAATCCGAGTTATAACGAAGAAGTTATACTCATTATAAGTTTTCCGACAAAAACCGGCAATACAAAGTTACGTAAAAACGCAAAGTTTCAATAAAACATTTTCTGACCTTAGGTGTCTAAATGAAAGTGATAGATATCGTTAAACTACAAACATGCATAAAAAGAACGCTCAAATCGGACATCATATGAATAAGTTATGAATTTTTAAAGAAATTCCTTAAACACGTCACTTTAATAAATAAATAATAAAAATAATTTCGGAATTTGCCAACGGAATCTAAATGAAAGTTGTAGATCGTAGTCTCACCTTCGCGGGGATATAAAGAACGCCAAAAACGGAGTTCGTATGAGGGAAATATGAATTTTTGAAGTTTGATAATTAATTTATATATAATTTTTATTCAAAATTCGGTATTATCCGAAGAGGAGTCAGCCTAGGGCTATAGTACGCGCCGCGTACCCTAGTACGCCCCGCGTACTGAGAGGCCACGGCCTCGGATCGTCCACGTCGCACGATCCGAAGAACCCGACCCGCTGTCCCATCCGACCCGCGTGCCAGCGACCCGTCCCATCCGACCCGCGAACCCAGGGATCCGTCCCATCCGAAGCCGAGGCAGTCGAGGCCTCGGTCATGCGTGACGTACGCGTACGCGCTGCGTACTAGCGTACGCCCCGCGTACTGAGGCAGACCAGCCTCTCTATAAATAGCATACGAAGGTTTCCAAAGAAAGGGCTCATTCTCTCTCATTTCCCTTGCGTTTTTCCTCGTTTTCCGTGCTCGTACTACCCCGAAGCCCTGGTCGCTTCGTACAAGATCCGAAGGTCGATTTTCTCCCGAGGAATCCCGAGATTTCCGAGGAAAATCCATTTCCCGAGACGAAACTCTGCCGTTTTTCCATCTCGCTATCTTCAAGTTGTCAAGTGAGTTCATACCCCTTTCTAACACACTTTAAATACATTTTTAAATACTTTTACACTCTTTTAGGGGGGAATACAAGTAAACATACGGTTATTATCGTGTATTTTATAAAGTTTCACTTCACTTATATTATCAAATAAACCACTTGGAACTCATTACTATTATGGAAAACTCTTGTCATACTTTGTGTGCATTAGACTTATACGAAGCATATAATGATCTTTCATTGTTAAATCGTTTTATACATTCTAAAAACTTATGATTTTGCTTTATCAAACATTTTGAAAAAGGATAAACTTTGCATACAAAACTATCACTTTAATATAGACTTAATTGAGAATCCATGAGACGCGTACATCTTCAAACGTTACTTTTCTTTATTAGAAAGTACTGCAGTAAGTCTGTCTATAACCAGAATCTCCCGCGACGAGAACGTGTCAAATGTGTATAGATCTATACGGGAAGTCATGATCCCGCACCCTGACTGTTAGCTACAGTCCGTCTTTTGGGGTGACAGTTGTCATAGCACTGCGACGCCTGAAGAACGTCGTTACAGGCATATTATGTTTAGTATGGTTATAGAAACTCATCGGATATACAATTATTATGATATTCAGTTTTGATGAGCGAGTAGTTATTAAAACTATTCTTCATCCAACCGGTTCGGTCTTCGCGTAGTTTTATTATATATAAAACTATGACACACTTACGAGAAACGTCGGTTTCTTGCAAATTTTCGGTCTTAGAGACTGGCATTATGTGTGAGGAAAATAAGAGTTTTTCCTGCATACAAACCAAACAACTAATAGGAAAATAAGGGATTTTCCCGGTGCAATCATTTACAACTTATAACATGAACAACTATATACATCTCATACTTTTATAAGAAAATAAGGGTTTTTCTTGGAAAACACAACAAATCGTATTTCAACTATTAAGGAAAATATGGGATTTTCTGGAGCTAATGCATTCATTTCCAACACCACAAATCACAACTCTTTACATTTTGAAACGCTACGTTTACTGGAAAACATACACCCATTTTGGAATGGCATCCAATTTTTCTAAACTACTTATGGACTCACCAACTTAATTGTTGACACTTTTTCTTTGAAATAACTTGTATTCTCAGGAAATCGCTAAGCAGGTTGGGAATCAACTTTTGGGATTAACGCGCTGGCGTTAATTACTTCATTTTGAATGATGTTTATGTACCTTTATTTTGAACATGTAATGAATACAACTATGTAAACATCTTGCAAACTTATTATCTATGGTGGTGTGTACTTTCCTTTCTATGAACTGTTATGATATTGAACATGACGTCCTCCGCCCCCGAACGTTTCCGCCGTTCTGGTTTGGGGGTGTGACATTTTTTCACCTTAGAAATCATCCATACACACACACACACACACTCTCTCTCTCTCTCTCTCCCCCTTTTTATCGAACAAAATTCATAACTAGTCTCCAAGGGTTAGTGAATTTCGATAAACCCTAACTTAGTGTTCTACCTTTTTGCTTTTGGAGTTTGTGTGTCTAACTGTATTATATGGATTCTACTTTGGGTCCTTCATCCTTTGCATTAACTGGCATTCACAAGATCTCAATCAAGAAACCAAGAGGTTAATATGTCTTTCATTGTTGTTTTTGAAAGTATGTTGTTATAACTAGTAAAACCTAGATTTTAGGGTGCATGTACACTTAGGTAAATCTATAGATTATTTCGCTACCTTCTTGATGTGTATTGATGCTAATAAAACCCAATAGTTGTGGCTTTTAGGATTTGAGTAACACTCTAACATGTTTGTGTTTGTGGCTCACCACATGTGTTTCTCGAAGTAACACTTGGCTATAAATACCCATTTCATGTATTAACTATATATTAAAAAATAATATATAAGTCTCTTTTAGTTTTTTCTTTGTCTTCATATTTTCTTAAAATCTACAAGTTTTCAATCACAGCCTCTTTTTGAAGAGTAAAAAAAATGAGATAACAAATAACACATATTGAAAGAAGTATTAAATTGTCTTTGAGATTTAGGTTGTTTAGTATTAAAAGAGGGGAGTTTTCTCTTCATCTTTTTTAGTTGGCTATCAATGCTCGTGGTCTTCTTAGTAAGAGAAACGAGTCAAAGTTCGAGAGAGATTATGTTGCATTTTGGTTTTTCATTTTTTTTTCTGTTTGTTATTTAATTAATACAATAAAAATGATAATCAATATTTTTAAAAAGACAAAGAAACAAGATACAAAAAAATATTTGAATTATTAAAAAAATGGGGTCGAAAGAAATGAAAAACTGTGGTTTGCTTGTTTAGTGCTTTTGCGCTAAGGGAAGAAAGATCAAAAAGTTGAAACATCTGAAAGCATACTCATAAAAAGCTGAACGAAATCAACTAATTGATAGAATTTCAAGAGTTAGTTATTGAATGATAGACAAATTAGAACCGAGACTAATAATGCCTTAAGCCTATGGTTTGTCCTTTTTTGTGACAAAAACACATAAAATGATTATTTAGAAAATTTAACATACCAACTATTAAATTTAATGACCAAAGACCAACTTTCCTTAAGAATTAGTGATTCAAGAAAGAAAAAAACTTTAACTCAAGTTAACTATGCACCAAATGACATGGGCCATTTATGTAATGTAAAAATATTGCTCATTATAAAAAAAATATATAAAACTTATTATTATTATATTATAGATTAAAATTCTCCACCCCTTAGCTACAGTAAAGTGGCTAAGGGATTGGCATAATTGGTCCCTAGGTATTTGTATATGGTCAATTTCTGCTTTTCTTTTTTTCTTTTTTTCAGGGGCCTTTTAGATCATTTTTGAAATTTTAGTGTATGGGTGCTGCTAATAAGACACCCCTTAGACACTCTATAATCATTTTTATAAAAAGTCAACCTATAATCAACTTCTTGTAATCTATCTTTTTCGGAAAACAATGCAATTTCAACTAATAAAATATTTTAAACATTAATTAGGGTTATCTAAATGGTAAAATAGGATGTCTTATTATCAACCCCTTGGTGTATACATCTTCTTTATATTTGTATTTCACCGCTTTGTAAGCCAATAAGATTAAGATCAGTGCTATTATTCTTCACGGCTACGTGATATGGTCTGCTCCCCACCTCCTGCTGTTTCCAATTACATACGAACAACACCGCCTTTGATTTCTTGGAAATATCCCCATACACTCGACTCTTCGGTGCTGTTTGTTTTTTCGAAGCGAAAATTCATGAAGTCTGCAGACCACCTCTGCAATCCTCTATAGCAGAAGAGGTGGAACAAACGGCTGCAGCCTATAATAAGAAGCATGTTTGTTTTTTAACATATGCAGACTGCTGCGGTAAACTAAAATTTAAATAAACTAATTTTATAAACTGAAATAATTCTCAACATTGAAATTTAATAATTCTAGTCTTAAAACATTAAAATAATAATAACAATAACATGTAAAAAACAAAAATATAAAACTTTTTTTTTAAAAAAAACATTAAAAAATGTAAAAGAAGCTAATAGTTTTATTCTAGAAAAAAAACTAATTTAAAAAAAGCATTAAAAAAGAAAATAATAAAAAAATTTAAGAAAGTATTGCAAACGTTGTCTACAAAGTTCGTAAAAAATTACACACATTAAAAAAAATGTAACTGAAATTGAAAATATAACGGTAAAAAAAAACAAATTAAAAAAATCGTGGAAATTATAAAAATAAATTGTATCACATCCGTAAATAAAAATTTAAGAAAATCAAAGTTTAAAAAAAAAAAATTAAAAAAAAAAGTTATACAAAAATTCTTAAAAAAACACTTAGAAAAAATGAAAGCTAAAGAGGTTAGAAGAGGCAAGTCAAGTGCTGCGCCACGCAGCTCACGCGCAAAGGTTTTGTAGTCTGAAGTTTTCAAAAAAACAAACTGCTGCGAGAGGGAAAGTGCTGCGCGTGTGCTGCGCCGCTCAATAAGTGGTTTGAAGAGGTTTTATTTAGAAAAACAAGCGGAATCTCTTTCGGTCTTTCTTCATTCTCTGGATTGTTCTCTCTTTACCCCTTTCTATTACAGCCAATCGATTCCACCTTCCGCCTCCTTCCTCATCGCTTTCTTCCCAATTCCCTAAATCGCACCCTCCACTATCTCTAAAACCCTCAATCTACACAAACGGACGTTACATTTGACTTATGTATCTCTGTCCTATCTTCAATTTTTTGGATCATGTCTCAGATAATCAGAGAAACATTCGAAGGTGTAGAGATTGAGAGGGAAGAAGGAAGAAGCAACAACTTACACTGGCGCTCCATCATTCCACCGATTCCCCCCTTTGCTTGCTTTCATTCACCAAAAAACGAAGACGAAGAACAATAGTGATAACCCACCAACTTCTACAGCCTTCTGCTGGTAATGCGTTCCCCATCCCGTAGTTCTTTCCGATCACACAAACTCTCACAAACCCTAATTTCTTTCATCCACCATCTATTGCTTATCTAGAGTACATGTTTCAAGCCGATGATTTTGTGGGTGGGAAATATGTGGTTGTTATACCTGATGAACATTGAAATCGCATGAGGATGGTGCCATCGGCTTATTTTTTATTTATATATGCTTCGATCTCCATCCAAAACACGAACTTCTACCCCAAATACAGGTGAGATAACCACTGTTCTTCGACCATCATCACATCTCCACTACTTCTCACCTTCAGATTCCTTTTATCTCTATTGTCGGTGGACTAGAACACCATATATGCAATAGAACCCGTAGAAGCTACAGTTACATGTACAACCACATCACCTGTATTTGTTGGCCTTTAACCCAGGGGTGTCGCTTCTGCTTATTCCACTATCGCCAATAAAAATGTCTTTTCCAAGAGCCACAAAAGGAGAACAGATATTGCGTTTTCGTTGTCAAATTATCCTACACTTTCTGAAACCAACGAGCAAGCTTTTCAGTTCAGTTATGTATATGTTTCTGTGGGTTTTTTTTTTTGTTATTTTGTTATTTAGGGTCAAGTTTATGTATGATTGTTAAAATGATGATAGGAGGGAGCAATAAATACCTAAAAAATTGTTCTTCATCTGCTAAAGAAGCATCAGACGTCTTTTTTTTTTATATTTGATTTCGTTGGTTTTTTATTTTCCATTCTAAAGCTCGGTAAAGCCTCAACAGAATTATGCCCACCAATTGTTTGTCAAAATGCCAAGCAGAGATTTTTGGTTTGTTACATCATTGGTTGCACATATGGTCAATGTAACCTCACCAGATCTCTATAAGGTGTTCATTGTCAGGTTTACATTTTTACTTTTTGCTAATGCAACTTTTACTCAAAAATATTTATTTATTACCTTTTTGTATGCATTTCAGCTTTTAACATGTTCATGGAATGAGCCCTCTTTATTTTTATTTGTATGTGTTATATATATATTTTGCAGTGATTTAGTTTTTCTTAAAATTGCAATTGATAATGACATACCAGTACCACACAAAAATTGTTTTCAGTTTACCTGTTTATTATGATTCCATATAAATTTTGGCTAATTGATTTCATTTGTTTTCGACATTTTGGTATGAAATGCTAAAAGCTGTCAATTAAAAACTTACTTCAGGTTAGTAACTTTATTTATTTGATTGGTCAAAATATCTATTTTTATAATTTATAATTTCATACATCAATTTTTTTTATCGTCATGCATAAGTTTTTTTTGTTGCCGATTCCTTTTTTTACATCAACATTTTTGATGAACTCATCCAATTGATATGGCTGCAACACATGTGTTTTGTTCTTCTCTAAACACATGATGATGGCGTTAAGGCTTTTATTATTGTTCTTACTCGGTTGATGCTGGTTGCTAAAAAAAAGTAAGTAATAATAATTTCCTTTATTATTATTATTATTTTGATATAGTATACTTCTTTTGTTTTTCTTTTAAATCATTGTTTTTGTATACTCATTTTGTTTTGGATAATCTTTCGACATTTTTCAGGTTCAGTGCTTTGGATGCCCTTGGTTTTGGAAGATAAGTAACTAATTGACTTATTTCTTCTGACGAAAATGGTATAAACCGATTATAATTTATACAGGTGTCTTCTTCTACATGACAGGTAATTATAAAAGAAAAACTTTTGTAAATTGAATTAACCTTTTAAAATTTAATTATTAAGCAGAAGACGTACATAGTTCCCATTCGTCGTTTAATTGCATCCACGTTTCAATAAAGATTTGATACATTTTTTGGCTTCCATTTTAAATTGTATAGGTTGATTTAGTTTGAGTATACACATTGTTGACAAACCATAAGCCCTCAAATAGGAGTAGTTGATACCTCTTGCAAATGGGGTTACTTTTGGGGATTATGCAGTAAAAGACACCTCAAGAAGGTTAATATCCAACATAGTTTTTTGTTCTTGATTGCTTTTATATTTTTCTTTCAGGTTTGTGGTGTTAACATGAGTTTATATTCAACAGATGCATTAGAACCTCAAGTCACTTCTTTATATGCACATAAACAGTGTCATACTGATAAAATGCTACTTAATTACCGTTGACACGACATTTTTTGGTGATTTAAATAATTGCATTATGAAGTTGCATGTCACAGCTGTTCGCAGGTACACAGTTCAATCTGCAAAATATGTCGAGAAGGAGAAGGATGGTTTACATGATTTTTCTGCTGGTATGGTTCTTCAACAATTAGTCAGTGACAAATCTGACTTATTTAACAAGCATTCGGTCCAACATGCTTAATTTTTTTGGTTCTCTTTATAACAAAGGTTACTGGGATTTGGTATCTATATGAAATAACAATGGGGATGGATTGTCACATCCTAATATAATGTCTCCTATATCTAATGACCTGAAATAAAAGAAGACACTTGTTTCTACATCTGTTGAAATGCAATCGGTTGCTTTAATTCCAAAAATAATTGCAAGATTAGCCCTTGATTCTTTTTTTCTTTTTTTTTTTGTTATGTTCGTGTGTTTTCGGGTTTTTTGAAAAACACGTCTTTCGCTGTGCAACTAATCAAATATATACGATAATCTCATGAATTCAGCACTTGAAGAACACAATTTTGTTATAGATATTGTTTTCAGATATGGTTAGTTTGCATTCGGAAAGTTTTCTTCTATTTTATTACGTTTTTACATAAATAGGTGAATTGCAATGAATACGTTGACATACTTTACTGTGATTACCAATGAATTACACACAAAAGTCAAAAGCAACAACTTCCAACCCCGGCAATGCGGGGGAACGCATCTAGTTATTATTATTATTATATGGTACTACTCTTTGGGAGATAGGTATTGTAATGATGTCACTTCAATTGAAAATTTTAGAAGAATGATTCTATTCGTACCAAAGTTCTAAATAACGTAAGGCGTGACTTGGCGTCACTGTCAAACCTCAAGTTTTTTCCGATCCTTGGCGAGTCACGTTGTTAGTAAAGCGTGACTTAAGACAACAATTTTGTATATAATTAATATTGTTATATGTATTTTCAACTATTATTCTATTTTATACGCATATATGAGTTAAGACGATGTTTTAGTAAAGTTTAACTGTAGACACAAGCCTTGGAGCCATGACGCACCATTGTTAGCTTCTTAGAACCTTAATTCATACACTTGATATTAAATATATACAATCATTTAAATTTTCTAATATTTATTTTAATAAAGCACACCTCTTAATGACTTAGAAAAAACTGCACGAATGGTCCCTATGGTTAGTTGAAAATTATCATTTTGGTTCAAACAAGTTTGGACTAGCATCGGAGGTCTAAATTTTTTCATTTTGTTGCGAGTTTGGTTCAATTTGCTTTTAACTTTTTTATAATGACGATTTTTCCCTTTGTAATTTATTTTTTTATTTCTTTTATTTAAAACAAACTATAAGAATGCTCCATGTGAAATGTCAAAAATTGTCACTTTGGTCCAAAAATGTTTGAACTAGTATCACTGATCCAAAACTTTGAATTTTTTTATGAGTTTGATTCAATTTGTTATGATTTTTTTTTTAAATGATGATTTTGCCATTTGTATTTTCTTTTTTGAGTTTTTTATTACATAAATAAAAGAAGAAAATGAAAATACCTCTCTCTCTCTCTCTCTCTCTCTCTCTCTCTCTCTCTCTCTCTCTCTCTCTCTCTCTCTCTCTCTCTCTCAATATATCTTTGTCAAAATGTTTCACCATACCATTTGAGGAACCCAACAACCACCGACGAAGGTGACGATTGAGGAGCGCCACCTTACTTCGCCTCTAATTGGATTCCCACACCACCATCCTCTATATGTAGCTTCACACATCACCTTCTCAAATCTGTTTCGAACGCCACTTTTATGATACCCTAACATCACCACATTTCTCGTCGTTCTCTTTTCTAAACGTCAATGGCGACAAAGGGTTATGAAGGCAACGCTAGGGTTTGATTCCGGCGAAGAAGGAAAATTATGGATTTGGAAACACGAAGAACGGAAGCATTGCGTTTGTTCCATGTCTAGAAAGACGATTATGCATAGGTTTTCTGATCAAGAGGGGCTACAACACGATAGTTAGGGTTTCTGCTACCGGAGAAGACAAATCGAGAATGCCAGTGCGATTCCGACATCCATTAGCGATAACGATGGTGATGACTCTAGTTTTTTTTTTTTGTTTTTTTGTTTTTTTTTTTTTTGCAGATCTTGAAGAATTCGAAGTGATGTGTGTAATTACAAATCCGGTAATTAGTTCTTGTGATTTTACGAATCTTGTAATTAGGTGTTCTTTTGGATTTACAAATCTGATTGTTATTCTTGCTTTTGAAATCTCATTATTCATATGTTTTGGAGTATTTGTGTGTCGATTTATGTTGACCTTGTTAAATTTGAGTTTTGTATGTCAAGTTTAATCTTCGTATGTTTACGAAAAACGGAGATCCATTGTTGTTGTTGTTGTCATCGTCGTCAAAGTTGGTTTAAATCTTCATGTGGTTTTAGATCTTCATCTTTTTCATCTTGAGTTTGAGTTTGCCGATTTATAAATTTTTGTTTGAGTTCATCAGACGGTAGTGACCAGTTGTGGTGGCAGCGGTGGTAACCGTGGTGCGATAACATTGACTGATGGTGCAATTTCGTTTGACTGGTGGTGTTAGTCTTTTGAAGCAAGTATTTTAGGAGAGTGCGAGAAAGAAGTAGTAAGGGGTTTTATTTTCGTTTTATTTTTAATTGTTTTTAACTGTTGTGATAAAAGAAAATAAAAAATAAAATAGTAAGGGGAATATCAATCATTATAAAAAGTTTAAAAATAAATTGGACAAAACTTGAAACAAAATGAAAACCTTGGACCTTTGGTACTAGTCCAAGCTTGTTTGGACCAAAGTAATAATTTCCAGCCAACCACAGGGATTATTTGTGCAGTTTTTTCGTTATTTAATTTACCATTTTCTAAATAAATATAAAAGAATCAACCCCACCCCTACCTATTACTAACCTACCC